CCCCAAAACCCCAAAACCCCAAAACCCCAAAACCCCAATCATTGCTCTCAATGCTGAAAAATAATATGTTTATGTTCAAAATTGCACCTTTTTCAATACTTTCTTGGAATTTTTGCTATAAAGTTAAGATAGACTCATACGATGTTCCCCCAGCTGGAGTATTAATCTCTTTTAGTTTATCATCCAAGCTAAAATTCATCTAGGAAGTTACTGAAAGCTAACTTACAACTTTCTTAAACTTCTGTTTATGATGATGTGAAATCTTTATAGTCTTTGGTCCTGATATACTTCTTTTACACATATACTTCAAGTATCTACAAATTCAGGACTAGACTACTTACAGCTTCTTTTTATTGTCCTGAGCTATTTTTGAATGAGTTGGAGCACAAAACTGTTCTCTCTGAGTTACAGATTGTTTCAAATGAGCAACCTACTCAAAAATTTAAACAACCCCTAGAAATCTGCTCTTACTGTTTCTCGAGCTGCATTCTGATTAGAATTAGCTGCTTTTTTCTTCCTTTTGTCTTTCTTTGTCCTCTTCTCAGATTTTTCTAAGGGATTAACAAGATGGTACTCCAGACCTTCTGAGCCAGAAGTTCTCCTTCTCTTCGTACAGAGTTAATTAGACTGGCTAAAGATTTTAACTAAAAATACCTTTTATCTTGCTCTTTAAGCATCTAACCTTACCCTTTGGAGGCCCTGAGCTGGCTGCTGAGGTGAATTTTACACATGATTTCAGGAAATTCTGGTTAAACTAGAGCATAAGAAGAAGAGTACTCCTTCATAAGCCTTGAAGATAACTCTTCTGATACGCTCAGATTCTGGTGCAGCAAGGTCACGACAGATCTCTCTGATTACTTCCTTGCTTTTATTATTAACGAGGATTTGGTGGCCAGACTTGTTGTTAGTGGGCTCAAGTCCTTTTCGAAATCTTCTAAGAATTATATCCCTCAAAATTTACTCGTTAAATTCTCATATTCGACTTGTCTGTGTCGAATCATGCTTTATTTAAGTCTTCTTTCAAAAATCGTATTCGAAGCTCAGATGCTTTTCTTGAGAGTCTATAATAGGTTTAGCCAACCAGATTTAGTCTCAGTTGGGTGCCTAAAGCTCAACATAATGAAAGTTTGGTGATACTTGGCTAATCATGAAATTGAAAGAAAAGTATATGCTAAAACACTATACCATTCTTTTATTCTGGATATTTATCTCTTTCTCAACCAGATTTTCATTGGAAGTTGTAAATCTACTCTTACAAAAATCCTGATAATCTAGTTGGCCTACAATTCTCTGGCCGTACTGGTCTTCCTTGGTATAGTCTTTTTCAGCAGATTTTTTGTTCCTAAAAGCATTGATGTTCACTCAAAAAACTGGCTTACCCAGCCAAAATCTCGACCCTGGCTCTTCCTTGTTTAGTCTTCTGTGCTGAACTAAGAGACTGTAGTGGGAAATTAGTCTTCCAGGTGCTAATTCCTTGAATGCCTTTGGCTGAACCTTTAGAGCCCAAGCTAAGTGTCCCTGAAAGCTGAGCTGCTTGCATAGCACTTTGATCCAGATGTGTAGTTGGACCCTTCATCCATTGATTTTGGAGAGCGCAGGAATTCTGTTCTTTTATTGGTCTCGCACTAATCGTTCTGGCTCTAGAGATTAGAAGCAAGGTGTACTGGTCATGCTTGAATTTAGAACCTAATCTTATTTTGCTCCTTTCTATGGAAAGTTAGAGGAGTTGAGAGTGATAGTAGGGCTATGAAGATTCCTAAAAAAAAAGGAAGAAAGATGCATCAATTAAGAGTATAAAATTAGCAATCACTAAGGTAGAAATCAAGTGGCCTAGAATAAAAACTCTGAGTTTTCTGCCTTCCATGCTATTTTTTATGATTATTCAGCCAAATTTTAGATAATTCTCACCGTTTTAACAACTTATTAACAATGTTCTGATGTCTATAGTAAATAATCACATTTTCCCAAAGTGTATGAAGATTTACTTTCCTAGCCCATAGCTTTCATTGCTATAACTGTTAAAAGAGAATACGTACTAGACTTGTGGACAAAATGTACTACTTTCAAGTCTCTTTAAAAGGTTACTTCTTGGTCTCGTCTTCCTATAAATTCTTCACAAAGATGTCAACACAGAGAGAAAGCCCTATTTTTTTAATAAATACCTTAAACAACTTCATATGTCAGGAATTTGAAAATTTATATTCTAGTAAGACAACTTTAAATTCTGGAAATTAGAATTTGCATTGAAAGTGGGGCCTTTCAAGGGATAGTGCTATTCCTGACATACGAATAATGATACCAACATCAACAAAGACTTGCATTAGTTTTAACGTTCTCATAAAGCATTTACCCACCTTGAAGTACTTTGAGCAGATCCTCTTCTCTGCATCTTTTCAATAATCATTATAAATTTAGGGGTTTTGGGGTTTTGGGGTTTTGGGGTTTTGGGG